GATCCTGAATAGAAGATAAGCGAAGCTCGTGAGGTCTATGGAACCGGTGTGGAACCAGCCTAAGACCCTCCGATGCTCAAGTAAGATTGTTGTTTTAAGAGCTCTTGCTGTTGACCATATAGAAGTATAAAAGTCAAGCTGAAAAGTCTCACCCTTGTATTGTAGTGGAGGGGCCTATTTATAGAGGGCATTTTGTATGCTCTTAGTGCTCATTTTCGATGTGGGACTCGTGGGAGGGCCTTATGAGGTCGACACGAGTCTTTAGATATTGGGAGTTTCACTAAAACACCCAAAATGGGGGTTGAAATTATAAAAAAACCCAATACCCAAAACACTTTATAAACTGTTCGCAGCTTTGAGACAATGCCATCGGTGGCCGATGCCGATTGTCCGAGGCCTTGGGTACTTGGGCGAGTTTATAAGATCCACGTGTCGTTGTACGAGTGGAGGGTCAGATACGGTACAAACATGTGGGCTTCACACATATGCCACGTCATCAATTTAATAGAAAAAATTTGACGGAAGCTAACAGAGTGGACCATTTTGATGTGTGGAGGCTAACCTTAAGGACCATTAGTGTAAAAACAAACATTATGGACAAAATTTGATAATTTCGCAAACCTCAGGGACTATTTGTGATAAAAAAAACCTATATATATAATATTACAAAATGTTATTCATCGTTAATCTTTCGCATATTGTATAACCTTGCAGGCATGAGTCAAAATTTATTGACAATATCGTTGAAGCGATTTCATTACAAGTATTAAATGATGCGTATTTGGATGTAGCAAAGTACCCAGTTGGAATAGAGTCTCGTGCGCGCGAGATACATAAGCTTTTGGGCGTTGGAGGAAACGATGTTCGCATGGTAGGGATATGGGGCACTGGTGGAATAGGTAAGACAACAATTGCTAAAGCTGTTTATAATTCCATCGCCCATATGTTTGAAGGTAGCTGTTTTCTAGATGATGTTAGAGAAAGATCAATGCCGTATGGAGGCTTAGTCAAACTACAAAGTATTCTTCTTTATGAGATTCTAGGGGTGAAAGAAGTAAAGGTGACCAATGTTGACAAAGGAATCAATGTGATAAAGAAAATGTTGAATGGTAAGAAGCTTCTCTTAGTTCTTGACGATGTGGATCAATTGGACCAATTAAACAAATTAGTTGGAAGGTCTGATTGGTTTGGTTCAGGCAGCAGAATTGTTCTAACGACAAGAGATAAGCATTTGCTAATTGCTCATCAAGTCAATCTAATATATGAGGTTGAGAAGTTAGATCATTATGAGTCCTTAAAGCTCTTCACCAGTTGGAATTCATTTTCAAGAAATGGACACTTAAAAGATGATTATGCGAAACTTGCAAACAATGTAGTAGACTATGCTCAAGGTCTTCCATTAGCTCTGATGGTTTTGGGTTCACATCTATGTGGTAGAAGTATAGATCAATGGAAATATGCATTAGATGGTTACAGAAGAGTTCCTAACTGAGAGATTCAAGAAATTCTCAAAATAAGTTATAATGCACTAGAAGATGCGGTGAAGGAAGTTTTCCTCGATATTGCATTTTTCTATAAAGGTCTACGCAAGGATTATGTGACACAAATGCTAGAAGGTTGTGACCTCAACCCTAAGTATGATCTTGAAGTACTCGTGGAAAAGGCTCTTATAAATATTACGGAAGATGGCTGCATTTGGATGCATGACTTGATACAAGAAATGGGTAAATAAGTAGTTCGCCAAGAGTCACCAACTGAGCCCGGAAACATAGTAGGTTGTGGTTTCACGAGGATGTTTACCATGTTTTAACAGAAAACACGGTAAGTAGAATATATAATTTAAAACATTTTATTTTTATTTGACAAAAAAATTGTCCTTTGCTAATAGTATTGCTTTTTCATACTAGGGAACGGATAAGATCAAAGGTATTATGGTGAAGTTGCCTGCTGGGCTTGAGTCAGATGAGGTATGTTTGAATGCTGAAAGCTTCTCAAAGATGAAAAATCTTCGACTTTTTAATTTTTATAAATCATAATGCGCGCTTGTCTGGAAAAGTTGATTATCTTCCCAATGAGTTGAGGCTCCTTAGCTGGCCTGAATATCCGTCACAATCTTTGCCAGCCAATTTTAATCCAAAGAAACTTGTTGGTCTTACTATGCCTCGCAGCTGCATTTTACGACTGGATTTGCAATTCAAGGTATTTGAAATGACTGGTATTTTCAAGAGTTCATTTTTTTCTCTTTCTTCTTAGCATGTTGTAAGTTTCTTTAAAGCTTATGATGCGATCTTCTCTCTTTTTCTCCCTGTTTTGTGTGACAGAGTTTGAAATTTATAAATGTGGAGCACAGCAAATTCCTAAGAAAAACCCCTGACTTCTCTGGAGTCCCAAACTTGGAGAAGTTGAATCTAAACTATTGTACAAGTTTAGTTGAGCTTCATCCTTCTGCTGGATTCCTTCATAAGCTTGTTCAGTTGAGTCTTACGGGATGCCGTAGTCTTACTCTGTTTCCAAGAATTGTCAACTTGAAATCTCTGCTGGTGTTGTATCTTGAAGGTTGCATAAGTCTTGAGAATTTTCCTGAAATTACGGGGAAGATGGAATCTTTGAAATACCTGGTTCTATCAAAGACTTCCATCAAAGAATTGCCTTCATCGTCAATTCGACATTTCACTCGTCTCAAGAAATTGTATTTAGCCGGATGTGAAAACCTTACAAATCTGCCAAGCAGCATTTATGAGTTGAAGCACCTAACGACAATTTCTGTCCTTAAATGCTCAAAATTGGTTTCATTTCCTAAAATGGCGAAGTCTGAAGATTCAAGGAGTGCAGAATCACTTGTGACTCTTCATGGAGGCAATTTAGCGTTTCCCAAGCTATCTAAATTCTATGTGGGGGGATCCAATCTTTCAGACATTACCGATTTCCTTCCGACTCTTGATTGCATGACGACATTAACTAGACTTGATCTATCAAGAAGCAATTTCGTTAGTCTTCCCGCATGCATTAATAACTTTGTCAACTTGAGGAAACTTTGGTTGGTTAGTTGCAAGAGACTTAGAGAAATTCCAGATCTTCCACATGGATTGCAATATTTAGATGTGAGTGATTGCTTATCATTGGAAAGAGTTTCAAAATTGTCCAACATTTTGGAACGTAAAGAGTCTCAAATGTTCAGTCAAATGTACTTGACTAATTGTTGGAGACTGCGTAACAATCTGGTTCGAATTGCAAAGAAGAAAAATATGTTCATAAATCTCTTCTCTCTCTTTCTCTTGTCTCTGACATCTCATGTCAGGGTTGAATTTCCAGGAAGGGGAATTCCAAAGTGGTTCAGTTATCGTAAGGATTTGAAGGATCTTTGCGAATGTCAATTCTCAATTAAAACCTCTCAAAATTTCAATTGGGAGAACAAGGGAATTTCTGTTTGTGCTTTTCTCGAAAAGACCAAAAATAGGTTACGTCTTCATATTAAACCCAGCATCAGGGAGTTTGCTATTGATATTTACTTCGATGAAGAATGCCCTAATTATAGTCATTCAACAGGGAGAGACTCGAGTTTTTTGTGCCTGTTTTATGTCCCTTTCAATGAATTGATGTGGAAATGGGAACGCACGAAAAGAAATGTGAAAAGAACATGGGTGATGCCGCCTTATTTGCCTACAATCCGAGTTCATTTTGTGCGTATTAGCAAGGCTGTGAAAAGCTGCGGAGTCCACCTTGTAATGCCACCAGGATGAAGACCTCAGTATAGAGGCATGGGTATGTCCAGGAAGATATCAATCGATCAATCCTCCAAAGGGAAAGGACAGGAGAGCATTCAACTGTGATTGGGATGATAAGGATTTGCATCCTTCTTACAAGCTGACATTCTCAAGCCCGTGGGTAGAATTCAGTGATCTATATTTGTGATTGTTTGTGTTAATTCCACATGATTGGTTTCTTAGACTTCAATTGAGTTTTGAATGGTGGATGTTGGAATGGTGCAGTCTTGCTCTATGCAAGATGATATACCGTATAAAGTTATACTTCCAGAGCACTATTGTTTACAGCTTAGCAATTGTGCCACATGGAACTCCGAGTTGGTGATCCCTTAGGCTGCGTTTGGTTCATGGGAAAGGAATCTTGGGGATGGGAAACCAATTGCTTTCCCATGTTTGGTAAGTCAGGCATGGGAAAGCGTTGCCTAGCACATGGGAAAGTAGGAGGGAAAGTGAATCCTTCCTTCCTACTTGGGTTTCACTTTCCCTTCCCATGGGAAAGTAAGACTAACTTTTTTTTGACTAATTTGTCCTTACTAACAATTCATAATTACACTTTTTATCCAACAATTATTGGTATTTTTTTTATTACTTCAATAGGGATACAATTGGGAAACTAAACAAAATTTGTTTTCCATTCCTACTCAAAACAAACATGGGAAAGGAATCACCATTTCCCAAGGGATGGGAAATGACATGGGAAATGATTTTCCATCAAATTCATTCCGTGAACCAAACGGGGCAAGGGTTGGTCTCCCCTTGGTGCGCCACTTTTTTTGGCTAGTTGCTCTTCACAGTTCCTGTCTTTTGACCTGCTTTTATGGTTAGTGCTGCCTTGCTGTATTATTAAAGTGTGTTGCTGGCTGTAAACTTTGTTCTTCCTGCGGCTGCGTTGTGTTTTTTATAGAAGAACAGATTGCTGTTTGGCTCAGCCTTATTTTATCCTTGGTGTTGCTGCATTAGTTCTCCTATTGTTGTTTGTTAGGGCTTTGCATGTTGCCTCATGTTGGGGAGAGAGACGGAAATTAATGAAGCTGTTGTTCCAGAGGAAATTGAAAGCTCATCCTTCATTCGATGTAGATACTTGTGGACTTAAAGAAAGGGGGTGCAGTCATCAACCCCAACAATACTGTCCAAGTTCAAGAGTTGTTTTCGCAAGTTTAAGAGGGGCTTTCACAAATGCAACTACTGCTAATGAGGCAGTAAAGCTCTGGTCTTGGCCCTCTACCACACAGGCTAGACACTCCGTAGTGATTATTCCTGACCCCGCATCACAAGCACCATCGATATTTTTCACTGATTCCTCTGGTAGGAGCAAAGTGCATTTATTTATGGGTTTCCTCAAGTCTTCTTCCGGCTTTGATTTAACCACTGAGTCTTCTACTTCCGAAAAACTTTGCGGCTCCAGTTGTGGCTTGTGTTATGACGGGCATTGAATACACTTTCAGAATGGCCTTCTCTGTTTGCCCCTGAATTTCCTGTGATGATATTTAACTGTCAAGGCCATTGGTTAAACCTGGTCACCTCACCTGTGATTTAAGTAGTCCTGAATAGCCTAGAAAGCTATTTTAGCTGTTTTAGTTAATTTTGAATATTTTATCGTTGCTCCAACAAGCTACCAAAGTACAGTTCTGTTTCATTTTTGGTACACTATTGTAGGGCGAGCCCAAGATAATTTTTCCTAATAACCATTTTGCATAAGTTAATTTATCCATCAATTTATACAAGTTTATTCACGTTACGTACTTGATCACTTCTTATGGACCCATTTCAGGATAATTCTAATCTCATTCATTAAAGATAATGACGTTTTTAATGCAGATGACATTGGTCAGCCAGATAGGCAATGAAAATCATGCAGAGGAAGAAAAATGAATCGAATTTAACTGTCTCAAGGTGAATATGTTGTGGATAGCATTGAAAACAAACCCCTGCCCTCATATCTCATCTCTTTTTATTTGCCTCAATAGATGAGATTCTGTTTGTTGGGGTCTTAGCACTAATTTCCACTTTCTTTATTCGAATCTTCTGAAGTTTTGAATATGTTGATTTCCCAATTGGTTCACAGGTTTGGTATTTTGGGAACAACTTTGAGTCTTTTCTTCTTGCTGCGGTAGTGCTTGACAGAAAGGCATTGGGGGACTTGGGACCAGAGCATGCTTCGACCTGTTATTATGTCTAAACCTAAAGGCAAGAAAAAACATTTTTGATGAGCACAAAAGTAATGGTCAGAAACACCATACTCAATCCCCTTTTCCTAATTGCATGCTTGCTGATGGCTGATGTTCACTCATCAGAATTCAGAAACACCATACTCGATTCGCACAGCTTCGAATTTCAAGATGTAAAGGGTCTTCATTTGGAACCGAACGGTCCAAATCCCTTTGAGACATTAAATTTCAAAACACATCCATAGCCATGTCATCATCCTTGATAGTGCTCCCAGCTGGGGACCTGGGGTGTTGCAACTTTGTGCTTCATTGTCTTGCAGCAAACTATATATGCCGACATGGCTGTATGATGTGAAGAGTTTTCATCCCCAGAAGCTCAGCCATGAGTTTCTTCAAGATCTCCCTCAACTGCAGTTCATCACTAGTCGAAAATTTGTGGCTGTATGATATGATCACGATCTTTTCTTAATTGTTTGATGAACGTATAATTTTTTTCACTTGGAACATCATGATTCTCAGGTTGTGGCTGTATGATATGGTCATGATCTTTTCACTTTCTATTGCTCCCATCTATGGCAGCAATCTTAGTGTTCTGATTCTCAGGAGGTCCGTGATCACTTATTAGTGTTCTGATGCTTGCAGTTCTTTATACATTCACTATGATATTACGAACACCATCAAAAAAGTGTAAAAGAAATCACTAACTATAAAATCTTAGGGACGGAGCAATTACAAAGTCAATGTAGAAATAAGCAGAAAAAACATCATTTACATAAAAAGTGAAAATTGAAACCTCCTATTGCGAATGATGTTGAAAAATTATTTCTATTGCCAATAATGTTCAAGTCGAATCCCATAAACAGGGCCCTCTCATCCTGTAAATCCTATTTCTTAGAATATTAAACTCGAACTTGTTTAAGTTAATATTATTTTTTATGTATTTTTGGCTATTCCACTTTCTCTTTTCTTGTTTAGAGTTTCAAATATGCTGATTTCCTATTTGGTTCAAATAGGAAATCAGCATAATGGATCCTATTTTTATGGAACACAACTACCCTTCTCTTTTTTAATTCTAAAATAAATTAAAAAATTTCTAAAAAAAGCCTCTCGCAGGCGCGGAAGCGCGTGCTGAGAAGCTAATATAAGTAAATAGAGAATGAGTATATGACTGAATATCTCTAAAAAGTAACAAAAAAAGAAAAAGAGAATGGCCCATGCAGGTCTCGAACCTGCGACCTTCGCGTTATTAGCACGACGCTCTAACCAGCTGAGCTAATAGGCCATTTGATAATTTCCCCGTACTTTTTACTACTATACTAAAATGGGATAGAAAACGGCATATCGTGCTGATCGAAAAGAAAGGTATTTCTGGTTGTGGTCAGCCAAAAGAAAGGTTAAAGAAGCTGCTGAAGCAGAAAACAAAGAAAAAGAAGCTTGCTTTTCTACTAATCCACGCTCTGCAACTCGAATAGCACAAACCCTGTTCTTAGTTTTCTAGAAAGCTTAAAATCACAGGAAAATTGCAATAAATTCAAAACATATTGAAAAAGATAGACATGGCTGAAACTCTGCTTTTACTGGCAGTGACTCTGCGAAAAGTATCCGAACAATCCAATGCTTGGTCGGCGTCAAGTCAAGGACACAAAGGTACCTTCTTTTTGAGCAACAGCACGAACCCATTGAAACACAATACAATTCAACATCCCAACTAATACTAACTAACCTCCTAATATAGTAGGTTGGCTATATTGCAAAAGACTAAAATACCCTTGGAATCCTAACACTCGAACCCATTGAAGTTTGACATGCGATATGTTATGTTGTGAATGAAGAAATGAAAAGGATTCATAATTGTAATGTGATGTTCTTTAGAGTTGATGTAAGTTGATAATGAAAAGGAGTAACTGCGAAAGGTTGGTGTTTATCATAGCAAAAGGGAAAAAAAAGAAAGAAACTAACTTCGGTGTTTCATATTTTTGTATCTTTTAAATGTATACAGGGAGATCGTTGTGGTATATTTGGATCAAACTGCCCCCAGTGGCTTACTGCAATGGAGGTAAATACTGTATTTCCTATTTTCATGAATCACGATTGGCTTCATATTTATGCTTGCCGTGCTCACTTGAATGGAAAAGTTTGTTTATGTTGGGAGCAAATTTTTGACAGGTTGAGTAACTGTAATGTTTTACAGGCCTGTAATAGCCATGCCATAACCTATGTTCCGCTGTACGACACCCTTGGTACGATTTCTTTATCTTTGTCAATGATCGTCAGTACTTATATCACCATGAGTTTTAGAGTTTCTATAAATTTTCTTCCTCAATAGAATTTCCAGTAGCAATTGGAATTCAATGATGGTGGTTGAGCTCGATTAAATA